GGCGGGCGGGGTATGAGCCGGGGAGGGGAGGCGAGGATGATTCTGTTGGCAGCTCCGCCGGGCGGGGGAGGCCTGTGGTCTCTCTGCCCCGGGCGGGACGCTCCGACTCCAACCGGGGCGCAGGTTCCCAGGGCGCCCTCTCTTCGCAAAAATGCCGCCGCTGCCTCTTCGGCTTCCTCCGCCTCCCCCAGCAGGTTTCCCAGCGGCGGCTCCTCTGCTCGTTGCTCCTGTGCTGCTGCTGCTGCCGCCGCCACCGCCTCCTCCTCCTCCTCCGTTCACATTGCTTTGTGTGCGCGCACACCGAGCCTGACAGGGAGGGAGGGAGGGAGGGAGCCAGGGAGAGGAGGCCACTTGTTGGAAACTTCTGACTCGAACGTGGGGTCTTGAGTCTTATTCCCGACGGAAGGTGCCTGCCTGGCTTTACGCCCGGCCGAGGCGAAGAAAGCCTAGGCGTGGGTGTTTGGGGGCGGGGGAGTCCCCTCCCTCCCTCCCCGCTTCAAAGTCTCTCCCTCTCGCCCCATCTCTCTCTCCCTCTCATACATATATACACGCGCGCGCGCGCGCACCCTCTTTGCCCTCCACGCTCATCCGTGCTTCTCCTTCGCAGATTCCGAAGACCCGCAGCACCGCGACCATGTTCCCGAGGCTCTTCCGGCAGTGGAGTTTCGTGGTGTGTCCCCTCCCTCCCTCCCCGCTTCAAAGTCTCTCCCTCTCGCCCCATCTCTCTCTCCCTCTCATACATATATACACGCGCGCGCGCGCGCACCCTCTTTGCCCTCCACGCTCATCCGTGCTTCTCCTTCGCAGATTCCGAAGACCCGCAGCACCGCGACCATGTTCCCGAGGCTCTTCCGGCAGTGGAGTTTCGTGGTGTTTCTGCTGAGTTATTGCGCGCCTTCCTCGGGGAAATCACTGGAAGGGAACGGTCGCAGACTGTAAGTTGCTTCTTCCTCGAGCCTTAGAATGCAGATGGATGGGTCGTGAGGAGAGAATTTGGAAGCACGTGTGTTTGAAGACCTCCTGTAGCACCGAGGGCCTGAGTTTTCTCGACGTTCTCTCTCCCAAAAACACCCTGAGTTTAGTAACCCTTAGGTTACTAAATCTTAGGCACGTCTAATCTTAAATTGAGTCGAGTGAACTGATTGTCAAGTGAATGTGTATCTTATGAAGTCATGGATGAGGGATGCAGACCTCTGGATAGAAAAAGGAGAATAAAACTTCGCTTAGGTCAGGTTTAGTAAAAGAACAAGCCAAGAGTTATTTCTTGCAAAATCATGTCATACTAAGGTAATCTTTTGCCTTTGTGTCATTGGTTTCCATTTTTTTTTAAAAGCCTCAGTGGCTGTCGATCTTCATCTCCTTACTAAGACAGTTTCCCTTTTAAAAACATGAGGAATGTCTGGAGACACAGCATAATATTCAGAGGGATTGAGAATAATGGAGGTGAAATAAGTCTCACTCAGTGATAGTTGGCAATGCATGTGGGGAACAATTGCTGTCCTTAAAGGACATGGGTTGTGAGGTGGGCTGGAGAGAGGAGAGCCTCCCACATATGTGGTTACATAGGTACACATAAGACTGTATTCATATTGCACACATAGGAATCCTACAATATCAAGCACACTGGGGACTTCAGATGCTAAAAAGGGGCTGTAGACATGTTGGCCTGGGTCCCAGAAGCATGGATAACACTGTGGGGGAGTATGCCTGGTACTTAAATCACAGACATTGCTTTCTCCCACTGAGGATTTGTGCCAGTTAGTATTAGTTCTGCCATTTTAAGTTAAATATGTGATTTGGAGAGACAGAGAGGATTTAAGATAAGTGAATCTGAGAAAGGATTCAAAATATCCATCCATGCATACTTGCACACTCTTAACACCATATTTGTTAATATGAATCATTTGACAGCAAACAAAACTCAGACAAACCACCCAGGTCAATAATCCCACACTGTGGTTAAATATTGATGCTGTGTCGATCTCCAGTTATCTGAGACCCTGATTTTGATCCCTCTTTACTTTAGTTCAGTTACTCACAGGTGTGTGTGTGTGTGTGTGTGTGTGTGTGTGTGTGTGTGTGTGTGTGTGTGTGTGTGTGTGTTGTGTGTGTGTGTGTGTGTGTGTGTGTGTGTGTGTGTGTGTGTGTGTGTGTGTAAAAGTAAAATCAGAAGGCTACTGTGAAATGATAGTCATAAGACTATATATATATTATAAACAGATATGTGCCAGCCTATGTATTAGCATGTACAATTACAGAAAAAATAATGTGATGCTACAGTATTTTAATAGTGGGAGGCAGATAACAAAGAGGTCCATTTAGCTAGGTTGGAAGTGGCATAGAAGAACTTTGCTTTAAAGGACAATCTTTGAATTTTCTTAGACAACAGGGATAAAGAACATACACAGAAGATAAGGCTACAGGACGTCCTCTGCCCATTAACACCAGCTGCCTGCCTTGATCAGCCCTTTGAATCCATGCGTAGATTTGTGTTGCAGCCCTCCCTTGACTAAAACGCCCTGGATTAGGACCGGTTCCATACATGATGGCTGTAATCAATGCTATCTTTCTTCAGAGGCTCCTGCTCCAACATATTGTTTCAACTTCTCTAAAAATGACTGGCAAAACTTGCACTCATATTAAATCCCATAATGAGTCATTGTTTGTGTGTTAAGGAATATTCCTGGAAAAAAAACTACACACAATAGTAGTTAAACCCTTGCAGTATTAAAAAGAACAACTGTTTTGGGTCAAGGTTTGCTCGCATAGTTTGGTAGATTGCTTGCTGACAAAGCAGGCTGCCCAGAACAGAACTGGACCTATAGGTTCAGTCCTATAGTGCTAATTCTGTGACCCCCCTCCAGAGTAATATCAATGAGTACATTGTAAAAGAGGGCTTTACATGAGTTAGTAAATATGAAAATGCCACCAAACCCACAAAGCACCTTACAAGTCTCCAACCCTTCTGGAGAGAGATCATTTCTTGGCATATGTATCCCTGCAAGCTGGATACGGGAGGCAAGCTGCCGTTCCTTAGCAGGGTTTCTTTTGCGAATCAGGGAAAGAGAGTGAGGGATGGGATAGCTGTTTGAAGTTGTAGCGATCAAGACACCAAGAGTGGACACTTTTTTCTAATGATGACTGGTTAACCATTTTTCCTTGGGGGATTATCAGTATGTTTATGATGCTGAATTCATACCAGGTTCGGCCACATACATGAGATTGAATGATAGCTCTGTGAATGTGGTATTCAATGTATACAGTAATTTGTGTGGTACTTTTGGCCAGCGAGAAACCATAAGTTCTCAACCCTTCTCTCAAAATTGCTTACCGCATGTTAGCATTGCACTAACTACAGCTTGGTTTGGGGTCAGGCGTCTTTTAATCTAGCAAGTTTGCTAGCAGTCCAGAAAGGACCTCTAGTGGGTTATCGTAACAATTTGAAAATCTTTACTTTAATTGGCTCTGTATCTAAAGAATTTGTTCCTCAGCTAATACATCCAAATGATTAAGTGCACCCAAAAAGTACAGTTCGCTCTCGCTCCATATAATAATATGTATATAATAATATATTAAAGTTGCTTTACCAGTGTCAGCCCAGTAAGCTTTTGTTCCTGACAGAGAAAGATATCTAGAGGGAAGAGAGTGGACCTTTTAAGGCCACAGGTGATTGTGCCTCGGAACCATCTGTACTCACGGCCAACTCACTGATTCAAGGCAATGAATGACTTGTTTTTTGAAAAAAAAATAACTGAGGCTATGAGTTCTGTAAATCAACAAAGATGTGAATGTGCCATGTAAATAAGCAAGCTATGCATGCTAAAGGAACAGGATTTTCACTCCAAAAAAGTGAGTGCATGTGCAAGGGATAGACAGAATAGGAAGCTACCTTAGACTGAGTCAGTTGCTCTATCCACCCCAGTTGTGGCAGCTCTGCCTGGCAGCAGCCATCTAAGGTTTTAGACAGGATTCTTTCCTTACCCAGCCTGGAAATCCATCATGTCCACTTTTGATCTTCTATTCAAGTACTAACTAGTCCTAATCCTGTTTAGCTCCTGAAATGAAGTATAATGCCATGTAATATGATGGTAATACAAATGTATGTCTGCGGTTTCTTCTTGTTTGTTGGTGCTAGAACTGCAAAGTATAAACATTAGCTACAAGTTATCTAAAAGCGCACAACTTTTTTTGGTGCAATTTAATATATCAGTCCAAGGAAGAGCAACCTTGCTGGGAACCTTGTCTTTTCCCTCCTGAAGTATCGAAGGAGGATATCCAAATGGCACCAACTCCTCAGTAACATGCAACAGCACTCAGTGGGAGATGGTCCCGTACAGTGACTGGGAGTACGGAAGAGCAGGGTTGTGCTTGATGAAGGTGGCACAGGAGACATTCCTCGTAGAATACAGGCCAGCCAGCCACACCACTGTTCTGTAATGAGGTCCCCAGTCCCTAGCCACCTCATTTAGAGTCATGGGAGGCTGACCTTGTCTTTTACACAGTTCTTTGGCCTAGCTTTGTTAGATTATAGCATTTGCCATGTTCTAGATTTTTCGTACAATCTTTATGTCTGTCAACATCAGCTAATACATTCTCATGAAATCAGCCTGTATTTGCACACTGTCTACCAGATAGATATTGGAATTGAAATGTGTTACATGTTAGCACATTAACATTTAATTTGATCCAATAAATTGTTTTACAATAAAATTGTGAACATTTGATATCGATCATATCTTATAGCCTGACTGTATTCTGTGAAGTGGGGGGAAATGTCTAGGTTTAGATGAGATTTAAAACAGAAGGATTTTCTTCCAGTGTACCATTATACTTTTTTTACACTTGATTTTTAAAAGAGTTACTATTTTAAAGAGTTTCCTTGAGAATAAAGTGCTTTTGGCTTCTGTGGCAATAACCCTCAAATCAAGAGGAAAGCAAGAACACCTCTCTAACATTAGGTATATGCCTATTAAAGCTGAAAAAGTCCCCCTGCCATTCAGCCATTGGCTGAAATGCTTTGAGGCAGCAATCACAAACTGACTGCTGAAGAAATAATGTCCAGTAGTAGAATACTGGCACATGATGTAGCTTCTGTGAGGGGGACCAGAGTCAGCTGGAGAGGAAAAAAAAATCACAAATTGAGCCTGAAGTCAGAAGGCAATAATTGAGAGGAACGATATAAGAGGAGAAAGGGGGAAATTGAAAGCTGGTGGATTTACAAGTTTATTTGAACATGCCAGCCTGATCCTTCACTTCAGTATTTTGAAGGCAATCAAGCTCAGAATTTGGAATGTTAAGAGAGGAGAAATTTTCTCATGAGAAAAGCCAATAGGGCTGTAACATGAGTCACTATGGAGAGATTGACAAAGATGATAAAAGTAGGCTAGACTTGTGTGGCAGCAAGGGACTAGATTCATCAACACGCTGGGTCTATTCTGAGAACACAGTCAGTAATTGTGATGGGGAAACACAGAACACAATGCCTGTGGCTATTGTAAGAACAGAATACTGCACATTTTTAGCATATATGGTAAAAACCTATGCAGTGTGCTGGTTGAAACCATACAACTTGTTCTGAGCTTACTTTTTCTTCAAATTCTTTGGTCTTCTGTGGTGTATTTTAAAAGGATTCATGTGTACATCCAGTGTCAATAATCGACATTATGCATAATATAAGCCTATAGGGCTTGAATTACAGCCTTTCTAAAATATAATTCATACTATTGCAGTTTTTAAGCTGGAAAATAGTTTCATTTGAGGATGACTCAATCACATAACTTTCACCAAAGTATTAAAATGATCACATCTGTAGGATCTGCAGGCACTGCATTGATCCCAATAATTTATGCATGCCTGTGCTTCTCTTGGTCACTACAATACCATGGTAACCTCCATGGACAGAAGCTATTAATTATAACTACAACTGCTTATAACTGCTGTTTTAACGCAGCAGCTTCAGTCATTCAGAAAAGACTATGAACATTACCTTACTAATGTTTTCAGGTCAGTATCATTATGCTCAGCTGGCTGTATAGCTTGGCAGCTAATGTTTTCAGGTCAGTATCATTATGCCCATACTACAAGGAGAGCAGCTGGCTGTATAGCTTGGCGGTTTAGGGAGCCTGAGGATGGGAGTTTGATTCTCCACTGTGCCTCCTGTGAGAAGAGCCAACTTGTCTTGAGAGAGAGAGAGAGAAGTTTGCTAAAGGCTACCCAGTGAGCTCTCAGGTTCAAAGTGGAGTTTCCTACTCTGTAGTTCAGTCTCTCCTTCACCACATGCCTGGAGCAATGCAAATCATACCCAACAGTTAGAGCTTTATAACTCCTGATAAAACTCCAGACACAATACTTTCCAATCAAGTCGCCCTTCTTATATGTGAGTCAACAGGTGCTGAGTAAACAAGCAATGAAAGATGTGTGAGCTGCCCATTCTCTATATAAGCCTTGAAAAGATGGGAAGTGCAATATTTTGGCTTTCATTTTATTATTTAAAACTACCCGAACTTGACCGTTACACAGCTAATTGCAAGTATTTGTGATTTTTAATAAAAGATGGGAAATGTTACATTGGAATGTATATTCTGAGAGCTGCCTTCCAAGAAGTAACTTTTCAAAGCAGTGGCCAAACAGCTGTCTCTTTGTGCATGAATGTACAGCAAATTAGTAACTTGGTATCTTGTTCTCATCACTGATATATCTTAAATCTTAGAACCAGAGAGCTGGAAGTGACTCTGTGGATCATTGCGTCCAGCCCCTGTCAAAGAGGCACCGTGGAGACTCGAACTCCCAGCCTCTGGCTCCACAGACAGATACCTAAACCACGGAGTTGTCTTCCTGCTCTTTGATGTAAAAAGTTTGCTAGGCCTAATGTACAAAGCAGTTGTTCATTAGCTGCAAGCAAAACAGCAGAGACATCCACTTCCCTGGCCAGTAGATGCTCTATCGTTTACAATACATTCATGCAACAAATAAGGTTATCATAGTGCCTCAGGGCTCTCTATTGTAAGCGGACTGGAAGGACAGCTGCATGTGGCACTCACTGGAACTGACTTACAATCCCACCTACTTTTTCTCCCCCTGCAATTCACAGTGCATCCACCTTAGCCTCAGGGAAAAAACATACATTTTCCCATAGTTAATTATTTCCCAGGCAGCCCTTAGATCACCTGTTGGACCACAATATGGTTTCTGTGGACCGTTTTTCCCTACCTCCCTGGTTATTCCAGTATGAAGTGCTTGCAAAATGTCTGGTTATACCATTGCTTAACTATCTTAAAAATTGTGAAAGTATGGGTTAACATACCCATTGTGTGATATAAGCAGCATTACTGCATAAAAAAATAAAATAAATAGAAAGCCAACACGTCCAGCTACTTTATAACTTTGGACCTGACTCCCTATGAGACCAACATCTTAGGCAAAATATACTGAAACCCAGAGGACTATCTGGAAATCACAGCTTTAGAAAGATTATTTTTTTTCCACTGTAACCTCCAGAGTTCCCAGCTAGCATGGCCACAGTCCTTATTGTGTGAGAAATCCTGGGAGTTTTAATTTAATAAATCAGGCAAAAAACAATAGGAAAAAAACAAGAACATTGTGGCAGCTTAAAGACTAATTACTATATCTTAATGTGAGCTTTTGTGGACAAAAATTTGACCTAATAAAGTAACTTTTCCAAGCTACGCATAATGTTAGACGGAAATAATACGTCTGTGCCATTAAGTCGATTTCACCTTGTGACAATCCTATACAGGATTTTCTAGGTATGGAGTACCCAGAAGTCATTTGCCATTCCCTTCTTCAGGGGGCACCTGGGACTGTGCTGGACAGGCTGGCACTTCTCACAGGAGGCACAATAGGGAATCGCCCTCCCTACCCCCTGCTCTACAACAAAGCCCTCAGCTCACCAAGCTATTCAGTCAGTTAAAAAGGAATCCCAATATAGTTTTGGGGATAATGGGTTTGGGGAATGCTTACTCTTCTTGACTGGAAGAAAACATCTCCTAAAGTATAATTTTCCCCAAATCGTTAGGAATCGTTTAGTGACCGTTTAGCAATGGCTGTCTTTCTTGATTAGGAAAGCTCAATATGTCAACCCGTAAAATGATTAGCAAGTTGTTTCAACTTTAAACTTTTGGATTCCCTGGAAAGTGGCTAAGGAAAAAGTAGTTGTCATCCAAGATGTATTAGTTACACACCAAAGAGATGGAAGGTGCATGGCTGTTTTTCAGTGGTTAAAAGAGAAGAGTCAGGTTTTGCCAAGCTGGCTCAACAGCATTTCATTATCAATTTCATAATGCATGGGCTTTTATTTATTTATTTTTTCTTAAGCAGCAAAAGGACTGTGTCAGAATATCAACTGCTGCATGACAAAGGAAAGTCTTTGCAAGACACGCGAAGACGAAGCTTCCTGCAAAATTTAATTGATGGGGTGAACACAGCAGACATCCGGCCGGTGTCAGACGTGTCACCGAATCCTAAACCTGCCACCATTGCAAAGAACTACGCTGTCCGATTTGGCAGTGATGACGAAGGCAAAAACCTGACTCAAGAGACCAACAAAACTCAGATGTTCAAGGAACAGCCCCTGAGGACACCAGGAAAGAAAAAGAAAGGGAAGCCTGGGAAACGTAAGGAGCAGGAGAAGAAAAAGAGGAGAGTTCGTTCAGCCTGGCTGAGTTCCAGAGGATCTGGAAGTGGAATGGCACGGATCCCCCTCTTGAACATCTTTGGTACTACACATCTTGATGAAAGGTAATAACATTCTATAACCTGGAGGCAAAAGGGCAACGTTTCTGTTTGAAGGCTCCAACCAGACACTCATGTGGGAAATCTAGATGGCAGAATCTAAATGGGGCGGAATTCATTGCAAGCCCCAGAGAAAGCCCAGTGTAGCTGTGCAAGACCAATCTGGTTGTTCGATGCATTGGGCCTATTTAAGAGGGGAAGAGCCCATGATTCTTAAATTTTGCTACTCAGAACAATCCCATCATGCTTCACAGTAAGGTTGTTTCCAGATCACATTTTTCTCTGCATCACACACACACACACAAACTCAGAGGGAGGGAGATTGAAGTAGCTTCTTTTTATATATATATACCTATAGTAACTCACTCGACTTTTAAAGTATTTTCTCACCTTGGGAATCTATCCTTCTGAAGATTAGGAGAGGGTCTGCAGACATTATTGACACCGAGACACAGTAAATTACTCAGAAGCCAAGTGCTGAATAAAATTCCAGACTTTGAAGTTATTTGGTTCGATAGCAGCTAGCTAGCTATTGTAGTTACTCATCCAAGGAGTTGGGGAAATTAATCACAGAAAGATTTGTAATTCTCCCTTAAAATGCATTTCAGATCTATTACAATTTCTGTATTCATTAAACCTTCAGCAACATTTTTTAACACGAGAAACATTCGGGTGTTTGATTTGAACTTCACTTAAATTTGCACATATATGAGAAATAGGCTGTGTTTCCTCCTTTGTCTTGAACAGTTTACACCCTTGAAGAAATCCTTTCTGGGAGAACATGAAAAGTTTCTCTTATTAATATCTGCTGAGACTGGCCAGCCTTCTGCCATAATATTTTCCCTGCCATTAGGACTTGTTAGTTCAGTTCCAATTTTGCTGCCAGCTTGTCAAACAATTACATTGCTGCTGAAAAATGTTGAGTATTACCCTTGGGGTAGAGAGACATGTTTCTCTCATGTATGACAAGGAAGGGCTTTCAGGGGAAAAAAAAAGCTGCTTAAGAGTTGCAACTTTGTACACATTCCATAAGATCCTTTTATGAAATAATTTTGAAAGCTCTGTCTTTCATTTGCTTTTGCCCACAAAGAAAATATAAAGACATTAAATAAGAATTTGATCCTTGGGGTAAACATTTTGACACTGACATTTTCAGCATATTTACTGAGACATGCTACAAATTCAATGTGTGCTCCTTAGCCAGTGAGTATCTTCCTTATTTTGTAGGATTTGCATCCTGCCATTCCTCCAAGGAGCTTAGAGCAAATAACATGGGTTTATCCCATCTAGTCCTCACAATAACCCTGAGAGGTAGGTTACCGTGTGAGATGATAACCTGCCCTAGGTCATTTTACAAACTTGACTTCTGAGAAGGGGTTGCAACCAAGGCTTGGTATGTGTTCATACTCACCACTGGACGTTCAGGCTATAAGACACTCATCATACACCCTTGTCTAGACCAAGGAAGCCACTAAGGACCATTTGGATTTCAGTGGGAGCAAAGGCATAGATTTCAGTGAGGAGGATACAGTTTGCTGCTAAGAAAAACGTGAACATTAAATCAAATGCTCCTGTCCCCTTTGTAGGATTTTTGCCTGTGGCATGCAATAGGAAGCTATTCCCATTGAAGTATTTGCAAATTTTGTCACTTGGTTTGTTCTACAAGGGGCCTGTCAGGACAGAAAGGAACCCCGAGAAACAGTTGCACCATTTGGCGTAAAACACGCAGAGGTGGGCAGGCTGCCTCTTCCTCTCACTTTCCAAGATAATTAGTCCCTTGCTTGATGCCCTTTAATGTTTTTGCTAAATCCTGCAAAGAGCAGGCATCTCTCAACATCACGGCTGCTATTTTTCTGAATGATCCCACTACTCAATAGGTCAGAAATGACTTCTGTCCTGTTCTTGGAAACGTGATGGAATTGGCGGTGTGGTTCCTGTGTGGTCAAAGCCTACAAAACAGGCTGAGACTCTTGGGTGGTTAGAGGTGCCATGTCAGATATATCCAAACAGAAACGGTGTGGCAAGTGGTTATGTATCTGACAAAATAAGTTAAATCTGCATGGAAGTGAGCTGCTTATTCCCAGAGTTTTTACGAGATTTGTTTTTTTATGACTCAGGTTACTATGGCATTTATATCCAGGCAGTTTCTTTAACTGAGCTATAGATCAGTGGATTGTGTTATGAATATTGAACCAACAGAATACCGGGTATGTTATGTCCCCAAAGAAGTCTGAAACACTCCAACCGCTTATAGATCAGGGCTTGTCTCAAAGGAGTTTTTTTCTTTCATTAGAATACTTGATCAGCATAATAGAGCCCTGAAGGGCTTGTACATTCAAGATATTTAAGAGAGATTTTTGAGAAGAGGAAGTGATTAAGAACAAAAGCAAAATTATTTCTCTGCCAAATGGAATGTGGCGTTTTGGCTCCTGAACTTCCAAACGAATCTTTACATGATACTATGCTAATGAGTTGGCAGAAAATAGTCTTTCTACACTATTAATCAAATGACAGTCATAGAGATTAAGGAAAGATTTCCAAGAAAACAGTCCTTTGTGGTGTGTAAGGTCAGGCGCTGTCTTTTCATCACTCAGCTGCTACCGTTAATTACCGTTTCAACAGAAATATCTATTTTCCCATTCAAACGACTGATTTTAAAATGCAGTTGAATTACTTCTCTGCACACTAGCAAAGAAAAATCAACATGCGAGCCTGTTGTAGGGTAGTGCAGGAAATACACAGCATTCAAAGAAGTCCTTTATTTACTCAAATAAAAGTTTTTTAAAAAAACTGAAGAGGGTCATTCTTTAACAATTGATTGTGTGCCATCAAGTCAATTCAGACTAATGACAGCCCTTCCCAAAGTGTTCTAGTTACAATACGCTTACATCTGGTTTACCATTCCCTTCTTCTGAGGGTACTCTGTGACTGTGTACCTTGACTGGCTGGCTTTTCTCTTGGAGGCACAGTGGGGAATCAAATTCCAGACCTTAAAGCTAGCTGCTCCCATCCACTGAGCTATCCAACCAGCTGGTCATTCTTTAGAACATAACTGAAAAAAAAAGGAGGAGAAATCAGGGAAGAGAAATGGAACACTTAAAATGTTACTGAAACTGAAACTATGTGAGATACCTGCAGCTAGATTTCTCTTCTTCATTAACAACTGCATCAGTCACTTAAGGCATCTAAAAACAATTCTGCGTGTTGTCTCTCTATATCACACACAGGAATGATTCTGTCCCGTGCTAAAATCTGCTGCTCTGCAGAAGTCATGCTACTTGAAATGTGTTTGGCCCAGAGCTGGGAAAAGTTATTTTTGTTAACCACAACTCCCAGAATCCCTCAGAGTAGTATGACCTCTGGCTGCCCTGAGCCAGGAGATTGTGGAAATTATAGTTCAAAAAGTAACATTTTCCAGGGTCTGGATAAGCACTTCTCATTTGTTTTTAATCATAGAAACACACAGCCTTAGAAACACTGTGTGGCGACATGTGTCCCTCAAAGAGTTGCAAAACGTAATAAACAAAAATGAAGCATTGGAAGATATATATAGGCAAATGAGATTTTATGGCTCAGTGGTATCCAGGCCATGTTCCATGTGTTATATTAATGTTGGAAGCAGCTATCTCTATTTCCATTGAGGCAATAAACTTCCTGCTAAAACAAGCCCTGTTGTTTTAGCACTGCTAAAACAAGGGGCTCAGATAGAGCTTTCTGTCATTCTTCTACATTCTTCATTTTTTTTTTGCTCTGGCAAAATTTGTGTGATTCTAAGCTGAACCCTTAAAGATCCAAGTTATTGCCAATCAGCGCCACTTTTGGTTTTAGATTCAAATCTAGTTCCAGAATGAATCTCTTTGATTTGGATGCTGTTGTGCTCAGTGGGAAAAGCACATCTGCAAACAGTGTTACTCTCCTTCTGTGGATCTTGGAGATGGGGAGACTTGCCACCTGCATGTCTTTGGCCCATTCAGAGCCAACTGTGGGTTTCCTTTTGGTGTTTCTTCTGAGGAAGGAGAAGTGATTTTCCCCCCTTGCAGGATAGTACTGATTTTGTGGTTCAATATCCAGCCTTTATCATGAGCATCAAAACAAAGGGAGAGTGGTTAATGGGTTGCATCCATTCCAGATGGTGGGCTGTCTGTGAACATGAAAGCCAAATGATGAACAGTTTAAACCTAAAAAAAAAAACCAGCTAATTTTGTACAAACCAATTGGCTGCATGACCATATTACTCTATCACAAATCTAAATCTTATAATATGCATACATATTAGCTGTATGATAGCCTTGTTAAGGATAGTCTCATCTTAGTAAAATTAAATAAAAATTTAATAATGCCACTTGAAAGGGTCACTTCTCTTTCATTAAAGAAAGAAACAGAATTTGTCAGGCATCCCAATCCTGCACATTTCATGTACCATGAAATGCTACCAGCCTTGTAACTTAGACATCCAGACATGTTCAGTTAATCTTAATTCTCCCCCTCTCTTCTCACCCGCCTGGAGAACCACAAAGGAGCCAAAGGGAGAAAATCCACCGTTAAGAGGAATGTAGTGCATTACAAGTAGAACAAGTGGGGGCGGCATGGCATTCACTGGAGAGTCAGAAACATATTCATAGAAAAACCACTGATTCCTGCATGTTAGTTGAACAGGCCTTTCAGAGTTGAACTTTGCTTGGCTATGTCAAGGCCTTTGTTTCTATGAGGTGGCAAATTTATATGGCAGCCGCAGCTTTAATAGTTGGCTGCTTCCAGTGTGATCCAACCCGCTCCCACAAACTGGGTGATTAGTTTTAGTGCCAAATACTTCCCAAAATGTGGAGTGCAAAATGTGGCATAGAAGCATTCTGCACAAATGGGGTGACTCTGAGGTAAGAAGCTGTCATGCGCCAGATGTAATTGCCCTTATATGGCTCCAATGTGTTTTAATTTAGTGCAAACAAAGCACATTTAATGCCACCCAAAACTCTAGCGAACAGGAGAGGCTTGTGATGTTTGTAAAAGTGGCTATTAAGGCTTCTACAGGAATAGAATTTAATGCAAGGGCTCCCTGGAATGGTGGATAATAGGACAATGATATGCAGGCCAAGTAGATATACTAATTATTGTACATTTACATCATCATCATCTAGTAATATGAGGACAGGAATCTACATTGTGAGTTTAGTGTAGAACTTCTATTGTCAGGTACCAGATGTAAACCTGTCTTGATTCAAATCAGCGGAAACATCCTCACTCATTGTCCAAAAAAGAAGGCAAGGACAAGGAACTTGAAAGTCATTCGAAAACTTGCAACCGGTTGATTGTTTCCTTCCCTCTAGATAATCCATCCCAATTCTGGTTCCCTAGGTTGTGTTCTACACCTCACTTCCTGTTTTTCAAGTAGTAAACCCAAACATAAATGGATCGACCAACAGTGGGAATATGGCAGCTGTGAAGGGGAACACATTCCCAGAAATGCATGCATAGTATACTTAAAGGGAGCTCACGGGGTGACAAGCAGATTAAGAGAATACAGTTTAGACCAGAAAAAAAATATATATAAAAGCCCAGTGGCCATTCTTAATAGGAAATATAGCAGAAAGTGACAAAGATGGCATGAACTGTCATACATAGGAAACAAAGCTCGACAGGCGTACATGGGACTTGGCTGCCTAGTGTAGATTTGGAAGATGGATGTTTTCAAGTTTAGAGTTCTGCCTCTGCTTTTGCCAGCTGGTAGATTTAACAGTATATTTTCAAGTCAACTTGTTTCTTTTCCAATCAATGTTATGGCCTTGATGGAGATTCTCCAGCTCACACCTAGTTTTGAGATTTGTTTCAGTGGAATTATATTAAATGGTCATTAAAGTGTGATGCATGGCTAATAACTATGTGTGTCTGGGGGTGGAAGTGGGGGACCCAGCTGCAAAGAATCAGCCACTTGGAATCAATCTGCAATATTTCACATTGCTAATTTCATTGTCTTGAAAGCCATGTACAGTAGAGCCTGAGCAAGAAAAAAAAACACAGCATGAATATATCCAGTGTTCATCATCTCTTCCAGCAGGCACACCCTGTTTGTGAGACGAGTCATGTTGTGTCCAGTTATTTTGTGTGGAAAAAATAATAATTTTCCCCTTTTCTCTTGCTTTTCTTTGCAGGAGGTGTTGACATCTTCAACCAAGATCTTTGGAAAACACATTGCAGTATTCTGTAATAGTGAACATATGGAAAGTGTTAGAAATATTTATTATCTGTAAATATTGTAAATGTATCAAAATAAAACCTTCGTCCCAGATGCTATCCAAAACTGCACATCTGAACATTGTGAATATTGAGGGAATTTTTTTGTGCTAAGACAATTCTTGTCACATTTACCATAATTTATTTTGTTGAATGATGTATTTATTTCAATGAATTTTTATCTTGGTGCTGCTGACTTTCTATATTTTTTGTAACATAATGCACTTTAGATATACATTATGTCTTACATTGATAAGACATAAATAAACTATTCCTGTTTTTAATCTGTTTTTAATGAGTTGCCCAAGTACAATTGTTCCAAAACTATGTTCTTCCATGCATGTGTAAAAAGGCAGTATTTTTACAATTTGTAAAAAAAAAAGTCCAATAAAATATAATCTAATTAAAGTTATATCATGACTCAGAGAGAGAAATGTGTCCTCTAGGACTTTAAGGACAAGGAACAATCATTTCCCCCTTTACAACATCTGAAAATAGTCTTTAAACTTAATATGTTTACATTGGTTTCAGTTCCATTTTCACATTAGCTTTTAGTTAAAAATCACTTACAGTATATTGTGCTTCAGTATTTGGCACTAAGTCAGCGGAGAACTTGAAGTTGATGTCTATTCCTTGTGGAGCACAGTTCTGTGCACAGGAGGAAATGCTCCAGCCAGTCTTACATGGGAGCACAAACCCAAGTCCATGAGTGTTAGCCGAGAGTTTCCCAAGACAGAGAACAAGGGATGAAGAACGAACTAAGAAGATGTGGAGGGCGAGTGTGTGTGTGTGTGTGGGGGGGAGGAAATCACTGCTACCCAGCCTTCATCTAGCACTGAAACTCTGGCTGAAGACATACAGATGGGGCAAATGGGATTTTATGTAAGCCAGGAATCTATTGCTGCTTGGATCCTGTGATCCGAGGGACTTTCAGAGTTCTCTCATTAGACAGAAAGTTTCCCGCCTCATTCCAAGGTTATTTCCAGATGCTGCTACTTCTATTACTCAGGGATAAACTGGAATTTGGAATAGATTCTATCTCTCCCTCATAGGCAGTAGTGGAAATGAGGGAGATGAACAGATCTATAATGTTCTTAGGTGATAGAAATGCTACACTAGTACCCCTGTGAAATCTGTGCTTAAGATGTTTCGAACATATTTTGGAACATGCTTTCTGTAAACCGTCAAGAGAGGTGGACAATTTTTAATCACTAAAAAGAGGCATTCTAGAGCTCTGACCTATGTGGGAACTTAATCCTTGGAAGGAAGCTCTTCTCCTCAGTTTATGTTTCTTTGGTGTTGTTGTTTTTCATTGCTTTGTCCTTTACCTGGAAATATTTGAGATCTCCTCAACTATTAGTGCTAAATGGTAAAGCACCTGAATTTCAGGCAGACATGCTGCTCTGTCTGAAAGATGAGACCAATGTTTATGCTGAGTTTTTTAAAGGCCACAATTTGACCATTTAATGTTTCTTGTGCTATACTTTGTTGGGGCGAGGTGGACAATTTTTAATCACTAAAAAGACCATTTAATGTTTCTTGTGCTATATTTTGTGTTGGGGTTGCCAGGTCAGTAGCTTCAAATTCCTTGAGATTTCAGGGCCAAAACCTGAGACCAGATGACGTGTCCCTCTGATGGCAAGAATCACATCTTGTTTAGGACCCAAATATTTTGTGTTCAACAAACATGCAAATACTGTCTTGCTGAGCCAGTGAACTCTGGTGCTATCTGCAAAGTGGGGAGAAGACAGGGACTGAAAGCCACTACACACGATAAAAACAGACGTACTCCTCTGCCAACTCACTTGCCCTGTGATTTGTCTCCCTGCCTGCAGACCCAGAGAAGCATAGCAAGTGCCCTAACTTTCAGATGGCAAGCTGAGATGTATGCAGAGCCTAGTGTCTAAATGCAGAGGTGATGTTGGGCACTTGGCCAGCTCAGAGGTCACTTAAGTCCAGGAGAACACTTAGTCAAAGCCTAGTTTGAAACTGAGAGCTAAAGCAAATGCTCTCCGGGCAATACACAAGAGCACGTGGATAAAACACAAATTTTGAGGAATAGAATAACATACTGTTTGAGCTTCAAGGCATGTTAAAAGGAAGAGGCAGAATCTCATTCTTCATACAGACTTCGAGTGCCCATATACATTCATCACAACTTCATATACCTGTATAACCATGTCCCTGTTTAAAAGAAAAAAGAAGAAAAAAGGGAGGGGGGAGCCGAACTCTTTTATTATTCCTGCTAGTGTAAATCTCAGCAGCAAATTGACGCTAGTGAGGGAGTCACCTTTTGCACTTGTTGTATTAAAGTTCTATGACGTGACGCATGAGCATGAAAGACTGCATCTATTTCTGAATTAGCAACAGCTCATCTCTGAAGTTTTCATTGATGGACTGACACCGATGTAGTTCTTCCGTTTGATTATGGCTGAAGAGTTAGGGCTTGTAAGATGGTGGTATAGTTTGCACTGTGTCTTGCTTGAAAAACAAATGGAGACCCTGATTTCTTAACTTCTGCCACACCCAACTGTCTGCACATTTACTCAGAGCAGAACTGCCCTGTTCAGTAGGCAGAGTGAAGATGAGTGCTTCCATTGGCAGGGCTGCCCACTAAAAGGATCTTACCCCTGTCCTCCTTGCCTTCTGCATGGCTCACTTCACCTCATACTGTTGCCTGCCTGCTCTTTGTGTAAAATTTATAAAGCTCTATATACTCAAATGCTTGTTTAGTATTGTGTGACATTTTGATTGATCCTAACAAAGGTCTTACCTGGTTGTGGACTTTTAAATGATCCTGGGAAGTTTCCTGGAAATGAGGAACATGACACGGTGTTCAATATTTTATACAAAGGTGTGTACCCTTCCAGAAATACACAATACTGAGTGACAAAAGTAGAGATGGGCACGAAAACCAAACCAAACCAAAACAAAACAAACCCCACAAACTCAAAGTGAAGCAAAATGTGGAACTTTTTCCATCATTGATATTTTGTTTCATTTTGTCCCTTCACCCCAGAAAGCCCCCCTTCACGGGCCCCGGCAGGCCTTCTACTGCCCTCTGTCGCCACTGCCAGCTTGTTTTTTAAAAAATTCAAAATTCAGCATGGTTCTTGGTTCGTGGTTTGTGGGTAAGAATGGGAGTGTTCGTATTCATATATGAATACGAATATTGCTGCACAGCTGGACTTAATGAGGGTCTGGCCCCTGAGGCCAGACTGTCCATTCACATGTCCGCTGGCAGCCTCACTCATCCTTCCAATCACTCCTGGAGCATCGCTCGGCTAGTAGCTCAGCAGCTTTGCAGAGAGACTCATCATCCCTCCCATTGCCAGAAGTGGCTAGCCAAGCGGGGTTCCAGGAGCAATTCAAAGGAAGAGAGGTGCTGCCACAGGACATGTCAGTGGATGGACCTAATCATCCTCATTAGGTCCAGCTGTGCGGGGGTATTCGTATACCCCCATCTCTATTTGTGGGCACTGATGAACCCTGAACCATCACAAACTGCCATTGTACTGGGCTGAGTCCATCTCTATTCTAAAGGTATGTTTGTCTTTTGCACATGAAGAGACTGAAATTTCCTTTCAAAACGTCTGTCTGGGAGGACGCATCTATTTGTGATGAGGCTAGTCTGTAGCAGTTAGTTGTGCAAAGATCGGAATGGGCAGTCTCTTCTTTGGGTGTTAATTTCTGCCACAGCAGGAGTAACAGAATGATCCAAGGCATGCCCAGTGCAAGGAAGCAGTTGCCACCAGAGGCTGCTTGAAAAGAAGCAAGGCCAGAACAGAGAGCCACACAAAGGTACAGCGGCAAAATTCCTCTTTGGGATCATAGAAAGTTTAATTCATTTATTGACTGATCTCTTGCAGCAGACTAGCCACCCTCTCATAGCATGCGCTTTGCAAATTACTGATGTAATGGGTCTGAAGAAATTTTAAATGGCTCATACGAATGCCCCTAAGGATTTCTTGGAAAGAAATTGCTTTGATGTAGGTAGAGACATATGATCTCCTGCTGTATTACAGCCAGTGTCAAATGTTAAAGGTCTAGCTTGTATCATTGCTTTATTTCTGACTTACACGATCCACTGTGTTCATCTTTTGGACTCTTGATTCATTAGGTTTGATTGTTGTCCAAACAGGATACTTGAGTCACTTGAGATATTTGAGAGGCTTCAAACATTTCCTTTCACTTAGAATTTAATTTTTCTTTTCAGACAAAAGGAAAGTGGCAGATGTTTAAACATCATGGGTGTTGCCTTAAAAAAACAATGGCTGAATAAGATTAAATTATTGAAAAGCTACGGAGCCATACTCGCTGGTGTCCAAGTTTATTTCAAACATGGCTTTTCAGTGAAACATCTTCCCATTCACACCCACCATCTGCGCAGAGCACTACAAAAACCTCGCAGAAGGGCAGATTTTTGAATGCTGCTCCAAAGTTCACTCGCTGGCTTGATATTCTATAGTGTGGGAAAGCCTTATGAAGTGTACAGAAATTCAGTGTGAAAAGTAAACTGGGGACAGTCCTTTATTTAAAGGATTCATCTTCAAGAGCAGGAGTAGCATGTTGAGAATGCATTGCAAATGGCTTTGGATCAACAAAAATAGAAAGAAAAAATGTATGTTTAGTGATGTCCCCCACTTTCCCCTGCATCGTGAGTTTGAAAGCAAGCACTGGAGATATTTTTATTGGACCCCAAAAAGTCATGGGCATAAGCTAACTTTTGACTTTTTTTGAGTCTTCACCAGGCTGGGCTTTACAAAGCTGGGGATAGTGGAGGAAAAAAACACAACCTCTAAAATTTCCAAAATCCATAGCTAGATGTGCAGACTTGGTTCCCTTGCTTAATGCAAGCTCCAAAATGACCTACCGCCTCTTGATGGGTTTTTAGAGCCCACATTTTGACAAAGTGCCTGATCTGCACCTCTGGCCATGGATTTTGGAACTTCTATGTTCTTAATCCACCAACCCCACTCTGTAGTGAAGATCTACACAGAGTCAAAAGCTGCTTTATGTTAGGGATTTTTTAAAATGGTTTAATAAAGATATCACCCATTCTTGCCTTCAGATTGTGTACCAGGACCACATTTTTTCCCTTTCTTTTTTATTATGACTTTGGAAATATATATGGCATATGACTAGCTAGGGCTGGTTCCAAGTCCCTGCCTAGGAGATGACGTGGCCAGTTTGCTTTCATTTCATCCTGAATTCCATTGTGCAATGCCCCCTTTGTTAAGGGCAAGTCACACACAGGAAAGCAACTTCCTGAGTTACGATGATTTGAGTCAGCAGCAAGTGACCATAAGATACGCAGAAGTAAAATGAGAAATTTCAATCCCAGGAAAA